AAAGTGATATGTGGTCATCCTAAGTATAAGATACAAACAGTAAAGTGATATGTGGTCATCCTAATATAAGATACAAACAGTAAAGTGATATGTGGTCATCCTAGTATAAGATACAAACAGTAAAGTGATATGTGGTCATCTAATATAAGATACAAACAGTAAAGTGATATGTGGTCATCCTAATATAAGATACAAACAATAAAGTGATATGTGGTCATCCTAATATAAGATACAAACAGTAAAGTGATATGTGGTCATCCTAGTATAAGATACAAACAGCAAAGTGATATGTGGTCATCCTAATATAACATACAAACAGCAAAGTGATATGTGGTCATCCTAATATAAGATACAAACAGTAAAGTGATATGTAGTTATCCTAATATAAGATACAAACAGTAAAGTGATATATAGTTATCTTAATATAAGATACAAACAGTAAAGTGATATATAGTTATCCTAATATAAGATACAAACAGTAAAGTGATATATAGTTTTCCTAATATAAGATACAAACAAATATAAGATACACGTGGTTATTCTAGTACAACATACGGGTAATAAGACACCACTTGGTCCTTCAAGATAATATAACATACAGACAACAAGACACCACTTGGTCCTTCAAGATAATATAACATACAGACAACAAGAGACCATTTGGTCCTTCAAGATAATATAACATACAGACAACAAGAGACCATTTGATTCTTCAAGATAATATAACATACAGACAACAAGACACCACTTGGTCCTTCAAGATAATATAACATACAGACAACAAGAGACCATTTGGTTCTTTCAAGATAATATAACATACAGACAACAAGAGACCACTTGGTCCTTCAAGATAATATAACATACAGACAACAAGAGACCTCTTGGTCCTTCAAGATAATATAACATACAGACAACAAGAGACCACTTGGTTTTTTCAAGGTAATATAACATTCTGACAAAAAGTGATAATTTGGTCTTTCAAGACAATATAAAATACGTGCAATAAAGAGTCCTTTGAGCGTTCAAGATAATATAGCATTCGCACAAAAAGTGACCATTTGGTCCTTTTAAAAAGCTTAAGTACAGGGTGAAACAGGAATTATCAGCCAATAATAGATAAACATTAGATGACTGTAACATGTAGAATACTCAATGCTTTTTATACTGTACTATCGGTGTCTTCGGGGAGCCAACCCATATATTAGGTACGAAGTGAAGGATTAAAAAAAAACACAACATATACAGGTCATCAGAAGCTAGATATGAAGAGCTACCTGGCACAGTTGCTCTATCTCTGGTGTATTTACAGATTTTCAGCTAATCAGAGCGTTCCAAGGTCGAAAAGCGACGAATAGCTAAATCCTAGGTTACTTATTTTTGTTCATCATAATTTTTCTTCAACAGGCCTAGTGCCTACCTAGTTCTAATAGTAACTATAATTTTTATCATCATTTGATAGAGCAAAACAATCTTCACGATTAATTAATTTCTGTAGTCCATATTGGTTTATAGAAGACATATTAATACTAGAAATAAACGACCTTATAACACCAAAATAGTAAAAAGGTTCTTCACGATCTTCAACTACCTATTACATTATTATTCTATGCAAAATTTATAAAGCTGTAGAATACATTCTATAACCTAGTAATCAACGTAAACAGACAAGTATTAGGAAAAAAAAAGATATTGCTAAATGAAAAATCTATGTACAGCTGGCTACTGAACTTGAAAAAAGGAACCAAACAAGATAGGGATGGAAGTGGATATATCACTTGATCAGCTAGTGATTAAATAGCAGACTAAATAGTCTCAACTATATATGGAGAATAAAATTCCTACAATACTGGCTTTCTTAATGGCAAAACAAATAGAACCAGCACTTCCAATCGTAAAATATCCCTCTATTGTAAAATAGCCATAAAGGTAGTATTCTAAAGTAAACTTATAATTATGAAAGCTGAAATTTTATACCAACATCAAGCTATCAATAGACAAATTAGGGAAGCCAGTAATGTAGGGATTTCGTTCTCCATGTAAAGTCGAGATGGCTTTGTCTCTGATTTTTTGTATATTACTGAGACAAGAATGACTTTGCGTATTAGAGTCAGAATGAACCTTGAGGGGGCAACGCATTTATTGATTTGTTAAGTTGCTTCCCTCTCAAGTTGTAGCCTTTGAATTAATTTACATGTGTTTAACTACAATGGATAAAGGCGTATAAACAGCGTTTGTACAACTACTTTTGAAATGTTATATAAAGAGCAAAATGGGAAGTAACCTTCGCCCATTATCTCCAAAGCGGAGAAATTTTAACATTTTCAATCTAAACAGCACCTTATGCGCAAGTGGACTTCTAGGATTCAGATATGGACTTCGTAATTTGGAGCTAATGACCAGAGGAAAGATATCCAGCTAACAGTACCAACCATTACAAGGCCTTTGTCCGGGTCCCTGAATCAAACAACGTGACTGACGCTTATAACGTGCGCATAGCGTGTTCGGCAACATTACGTCTCGAACTCCGGATCCTCCGATAAGCAGCTCGACATGCTAATCGGTAGGCCAAGCCCGGTCAGCTTAATTTCGATGGGACTCACATGACACCATCATATGTTTTTAAAACACATTTTTGTCTAAGCCAAATTGCTCGTGGATTCATGACTTTGTTGGTTACAGGATATCTAATAACATAAACATCGCACACACACACGCACAGAACAAATTGCTTGTGGGTTCATGACTTTGTTGGTTACAGGATATCTAATAACATAAACATCGCACACACACACGCGCACAGAACAAATTGCTTGTGGGTTCATGACTTTGTTGGTTACAGGATACCTAATAACATAAACATCGCACGCACACACACACAGAGAACAGATTGCTTGTTCACGACTTTGTTGGTTACAGGATATCTAATAACATAAACATCGTACGCACACACACACAGAGAACAGATTGCTTGTTCACGACTTTGTTGGTTACAGGATATCTAATAACATAAACATCGTACGCACACACACACAGAGAACAGATTGCTTGTTCACGACTTTGTTGGTTACAGGATATCTAATAACATAAACATCGTACGC